TCGCGATCATCCGTAACAGGCGGAATCGTGCGACAGGGCATAGCGTGGAGAATGGGAAATCCCCGAATTCCAGAAACGACGACGACGACCCCGCGACGATGCTCGCGCTCGACGACGCCAGATTAGAGTCCGGCAGTTGGATTTCAATACAGCGACCTTTCCTGACCAGGATAAACGTGCTGCTGTTGAATTTCAACCCGCGACCTAGTCATGGTGCGCGAGCGCGCATCCGCGGACCAGTTCGATCCGGTTTGGGCGGGACCATTTCTCATACCCGTCAGAAGATCTCCACTGATTTACGAAATCGATAAAAACGGATACCAATTCCAGTATCACGTTGACCAACTGAGACCAGCCCCAACAGGTAACCCGTCTCCAGTTGATGATGATGACAGTAGCTCGAATGTTAGCAGTGACAATGATGACTCCGGGGTCCACCGTCGGATCATCGAAGTGCCGATGATCACCATCCCGAGTTACAACAATCAACGTCTTTCGTAAAGCAGTCATCTTCCAATCGTCGTCCCCCCACGTCTACCTCAAACCTTCCGACGTCCGTTGACGTCCAAGAACCCTTAGCATCTGGTCACATGTCTAAGGACATTCCTGCTCTAATGAGCCCACCAGCGTTTCATAACGCACCTTCAATAATAAAATATACAATGTCTTATGACACCCCAGCTCAAACGAGCTCAACAGCGTCCCCTGCTCGCCAATCTCGACAGGGCACGCCTTTAGTTTTAACTCTTCCGACCAACGTCGATGAACCTGCTCCTACGAGCCAACCCGCGCCCCATGCTCGCCAATCTCGACATGGTGCGCATTTAGATCTAAGTCTTCCGACAATCGTCGATGAACTCGCTCAACCGAACACCTCCGCGTCCCCTGATCGCCAATCTCGACAGGGCACGCCATTAGTTTTAAGTATTCCGACTAACGTTGATGATCCAGCTTCAACGAGCTTAACCGCGCCCCATGCTCGCCAATCTCGACATGGCGCGCACTTAGATTTAAGTTTACCTACGTCCGTTAACGTACCTTCAAACCAGCAATCTGCACCTCAGCAGCAGGATGCTCCGATCCGTCTCAGAATTCGACGAACCACGGGTTCGACTGGACAACCCAGTTCCTACGAGGTAATCAATTCTTTGCGCGGACCACGCCTGGCCATTTCCACTCATGTATCGAAATGCCAGTCCACACTCACAAAATCCCGAAGCCCACTCGCCGGAGGGGGGGAGTGTCGTATTCCACCCTTCGAGCGAGCTTCAGGATTTCAGAACACCCAGTATATTCATAGAAGTAGTTTTGTACCTACGGATATGCCGGAGACCGTTGAATTGGAAAGGAGGCGAAACAATCATATTCACCTATCTTTCCAATCCAAACCAAAAACCCGCCACCGTTGCGAAATCAATCGCCGTCGGCCGGGCAGAATGAAAAAGCCTCTATAGGAGTCTTCAGACATCGATCCTCACGGCGATAGCGCTCCCAGAGCGTTAAAGACCAATTTCACCGACCTTTCCAGTGTCACCCGCATCGCGACCGATCTCGCCTGGGTCTGCCATCCCGGCGCGCAGTGACCACTGCCGCTGCTCTCGCAACCTGCAGTCGAACCCCGGGACGCTTCACGATGACATTTGGAAATGGCCATTAGAAATTTCACCACCCTTTTGAATTGGTCAAGGACGCTATCGCCAATAACTCCAAAAGTTATTGAGCGATCGGTGTCAAAATTTAATGCAGCACTCCTCAAGTCGCTAGCATTATCTTACTAAATTTTCGTCCGAATCGGATGAGCCAAAACGCCGTTATACGGGGAAACGCGGATTTCACGTTTTCCGCGTTTTCAGCCGTTCCGCTCATTCGATCTCGGCCGAACCCTCCAACCACACTAGAGTATCGCTAGGTGGTTGTCATATCCAAATTCGAACCGAATCGCCCGACTACTAACGGCCAGCTAAGCCATAATAGGTTTTCACGCCTTTAGAGCTGCCGCCGAAAGTATCCGCGCGATCTCGGTCGAACCCTCCAACCACGGCACTATGTCATGCCGTGTATCTAATCACAAAATTTCAAATGAATCCATCCAGAAATAAGACCTCCGTAGGCCCTTTTACGAGGACGGGGAAAATATCACCTATCTTTCCAATTTCCCCGTCTTTGGGCCGAAAGGACCGTCTTCCGAAGGTTCCACCGCTCTGGCGGTTGGATACGATGCTCGGCAGCCCAAGCCGAGACCGCGGGTAGAGTTTTTCCCAAACCTGGAAAAAACTCCAAAATCCCCGACGCCGACATCGACAATCCGTAGAGGCCAGAGGGGAACGAGTCCCGGCGTTGATGGGGACGATGGATGATTTTGGTTCGAGATTTTGGCGGACAATTCAAGGCCCGGTCCGCCAAAAGTATGGAAATCCCACAAAAGTGATCGAACGTCTACTTTTGACGTTTACAGTACTTCAGTGGGAGTACATGAGACGGAAAGCGATACAGAGCAATTGTGTAACAAATCTTATTCATGGTAAATAACTTGTATATGTTAATTGTGAACCTTTATTGTTTGTTAATTCTGTTCAATATATACTTTTAACATATCTTCCACGGTTTGATTGAAAAAACCCTGTCATCAAGCTCAAGAACTTTGGAGCTCAAGCTCACAGGCTCGCTTCACGAGGCTTCCGTCGAGGCTGCCATTCCTCGACGTGATATTGATAGTGCTTTGCAACCACTACTCGCTTAACGAGACAACCACCCGAGGTAGCCTAGCCTGAGGTGAAGACCCTGTTCGATAGCCCCCTGCATCGAAACAGCGGTAAACTCCAGGATCCACTTGCGACCTGCGAAACCGTCCGAGACTGACCACCTCCGACGAAGATCCTGTGCGATAGCCATTCGCATCGACACAGCGAACCTTCAGGCTCCTCCAGAGACCTGCATACCGTCCGAGGCTTGCGACCCTCCGACGAAGACTTTGATTCCGACTGTGCCGGCTCCATCGAGAGACCCGCACCTCGGTACAAAGTACACACATAGGCTCCTACGAGACCTACAATTCAGACTCCATTGAGATCTGCAAATCCGAGGCAATCTTCCTCGTCAAACTTCTAGGCGGTCACTCGTCGAGGCAACCTTCCTCGTCAAACCCCTACGAGGCATTTACTTTGTGACCCACGGGCACAAAGCAATAGTACGCACGTTATTGTGGCGGCGTACTTCCAAATTTAGTAAAGAAGTTATCCTTACTTCTAGGGCTCCCTCGAGAGACCCACATTTAATAGTAGAGTCAGTGCTTACTACAAGACGTCTACAAGACTTTCGGAGCAAAAGAGCTTGCTCCGACATTGTCGTACGGGGAAGATGAACCCCTGCGACGCGACTACGAAATCCAGTGCTACGAGGATTGGTGCCCTCGAAGGTAATACTACGAATAATAAATTAGATCGTGTGAGTATGATCAAGACTGAGCTGGACGAGACCTCGTCCCAAATCGGAGAGACCAGCGGTCACACGAACTGCCCTCACACCTGTTTGCCGGCGAAAGATCTCTCGACATTCGGGGTGAAAGAGGAAATGGCCTCTTCTGCCAACGCTATATCGATGCTCCGCGAAGAGTCTGAGGGACCGAAGATGGTGGCTCGCGGAAGTACGCGGCACGGCGCAGCCACAGCGCCGTACGCGTTGAGGTCCGCTGCTACGCGAGTTACTGGCACCATCTCGACCACCCCTCACGACGCACTCGCGGATCCGAGTAGCAACCAAGAGTTACCACGAAGTGGGTCACCCACAGATACTCGGGACGAGGTTCAACCTACGTACCAACTGGTAGGGTCCGGGGAATCCCATGAGTCCAACCACGGTTCACGGTCTGGCCCCGATAGCGGCCTACTTCCGAGGTCGGGTGTTTCGGAACGTGAGCTAGCCGTCGGTGACGACGCTACAGTTCATTCAGCTTTTTTACGAAGTGGTATCCAGCGGGAGCAATGCGCATCGCGTTCGGGTGCCATAGTAAGCGAAAACCCCTTAGCCGACTACGTCATAGGTGACGAAGCCGGCCTTTTTTATCAAAACAATACTTGTACGTCGCCCGTCCATTCTCATGATTTCCCCCGAACATACGATCATCGCCTAAGTGGTCCATATCAAGAAAGTCTAACCCGACACGACGCTCAACGCGGAGCTCGACCTTCTTCGTCGAGATCTCCCCCGCGAGCTCGTGTCCTAGACACCACGTCTGTAGGTCATATCCACCACAGATTCCAGTCGTCTGAGAATATAGTGCGACCGGGCGTCGATAGTGACGATCCCCGTGAACTCCGTGCGTTTCTGCCGCGGAACCCGGTCAAGGGAACTGACATCCCAGATCACAGGTTGCGACATGGTTTCCAACGTGGGGCTCGATTAGAACTCCCGATGTCTCCACTGAGCACCCATGCCGACCAAACACAACATTCCGATTATAATCCACGACAAGGTGCTCGACGTGGGGCTCGAAGTCGTGCTTCGACGTCCTCGTGGCGAGCCCATGTTGCCAATTCTCCGCACAATTCTCAAATATTAGGCACAAACGATCATATATCACGACATGGCGCCCAACGTGGAGCTCGATTAGAACTTCCGATGTCTCCACCGAGGGCCCATGTCGACGTTACCAATACAAATGGTCTTATTCCACGACACGGCGGTTATTTAATGAATAGCGATCGGACCGCGGACTGGACGCCGAGTGCGCCGCAGCCTACTGTTCAAAAAGGCCCCTGGCAGGAAATCTCGGGGCGCAATATTGGATTTTTCTTGCGTCCCGTGACACCCCCGGGGTTTCTGAGTGTTGGTGTTTTGTTTTTATGGTTAAGTACATGGCAAAACACAGTATATAGAATAATATATATGAAATAGTTGGTACTGAAAAATAGGTTAGTGTATGTTAGAGTGTCTTTGGCACTGGGGGGGGGGGGCTGTCCAACGCTGGCTGCTCCGGTAGTCCGGCTGGCGGCTGGTTGGCTCTACTGGGGGTTGGCCGACGTCCCTGGCCTCTCGTGGGGACGTGGCTGCTGAGTCCTCTTGGTGGGCGGCGGAGAAATAGCGACCATCCTCACTGGACGTCGCTTGCGCCTTATATCAAGGTGTCCGGGAAAATGCTGGGTCGGTCGCTTGGTTGGACCGCCTACAGCGGGTGATGGCTGGTTCGGGGGTTTGGTCTCTGCATGTGGCCTAGCATGGCTAGGGCCTGGTGTCGCCTCAGGGTAGGCTATCAGTGGACATGGAGGGCGGTCGTCGTCCAGACGTTGGACCCGTCCATGGTCCGTAGGTTGCCGTCCTGGTTGGCTGGTTGGTTTTATTAGCGGGTGGTGGCTGGCTCGGGGGTTTGCATGTGGCCTAGCATGGCTAGGGCCTGGTGTCGCCTCAGGGTAGGCTATCAGTGGACATGGAGGGCGGTCGTCGTCCAGACGTTGGACCCGTCCATGGTCCGTAGGTTGCCGTCCTGGTTGGCTGGTTGGTTTTATTAGCGGGTGGTGGCTGGCTCGGGGGTTTGCATGTGGCCTAGCATGGCTAGGGCCTGGTGTCGCCTCAGGGTAGGCTATCAGTGGACATGGAGGGCGGTCGTCGTCCAGACGTTGGACCCGTCCATGGTCCGTAGGTTGCCGTCCTGGTTGGCTGGTTGGTTTTATTAGCGGGTGGTGGCTGGCTCGGGGGTTTGCATGTGGCCTAGCATGGCTAGGGCCTGGTGTCGCCTCAGGGTAGGCTATCAGTGGACATGGAGGGCGGTCGTCGTCCAGACGTTGGACCCGTCCATGGTCCGTAGGTTGCCGTCCTGGTTGGCTGGTTGGTTTTATTAGCGGGTGGTGGCTGGCTCGGGGGTTTGCATGTGGCCTAGCATGGCTAGGGCCTGGTGTCGCCTCAGGGTAGGCTATCAGTGGACATGGAGGGCGGTCGTCATCCAGACGTTGGACCCGTCCATGGTCCGTAGGTTGCCGTCCTGGTTGGCTGGTTGGCTTTATTAGCCGACCGGGGTGGAGACCGTCCTGGTCTTGGGCCTCGGTATAGGGTAGTCGTGGCTCTGTTGGCCGGTCGAGGTGTGGACCGTCCTGGTCCTGAGCCCCGACTTGGGGTGCCGCTGGCTCTATTGGCCGGCCGGGGTGCAGGTCATCCAGACCTTGGTCCTCGGCTTCTGCGGCTTCCGGTGGTGGCATCTCTGACCTTCCAGGTAGACGGTCAGACGTGGCAATTCGGCATTGGCTGGGACGACCTCAGTGGTAACAGGATTGAAGTCGCCGACAAGGGCTTCGACATCCATGTTGTCGAAGGGCTTTGGTTCGATTGCCGAGAGAGGCGATTCGATAATCGGACCTGGATCTGGGAGGCTCACTGCCTCGGTGGCTGGGCTGGAGCCCTGGCTGAGGTCTGGCTCGGACATGCTGCAGGTTGGCTTGGGGCCGGACGGGTACTAGTGTTCGGTTGAGCTTGGATGGCTAGGGTCAAAGCCTGCAGAAGCTCGACGGTGCTTTGCGTAGAGCTCTGCGATGTAGGAGGTCCAGGTTGGGACGGTGGCCCTTGATGCTGGTAATTATGGAAGGACACTTCACTGTCCAGCAGAGAAGGCCTCAAAGGCACTTGTGGTGGGGTACCAGGTAGACACGGTGTTGGCTCCATGTCGGATGATTTAAAAAAATATTTTTTTAATTTTTTTTAATTTTTATTTATTTTTTTATTTTATTTTATTTTATTTATTTTTTTTTGTTGGATTAATTTTTATTTTATTTTATTCTATTTTTTTTGTTGGATTTATTTTTTTCAAAATTGGTCTTCAGACCTAGGGTGGACCTGGTGGACCTGGAGCGGACCTAGTATGGGTCTGGAGGACCTGGAGCGGACCTGGTGCGGTCCTGGTGGACCTGGAGTATGCCTGGTGGAGGCTTGGTGGACCCATGTGGACCTAGGGCAGACGTAGTAGACCTGGAGTAGGACTAGCGTGGACGTAGTGGACCTGGTGGACCTGGATTGGACCTGGCTCCCTTGCCTGTGTAGGTAACCTGGATATCGGTTACGCAAGCCTTGCGTGCTGGGCGCCATGTCCACGAACGCGGTAGTTCCGGACCCGTTTGGCGATGGTGACGTGGTTGGGTGGTACCTCTAAGGATCCCCAGGACACGCTGGATGCGTGCAGGAAGCGTTTCTGCATGGCCGCGGCTGCTTCTGCGGATGTCGGGTTCGGCTCGCGTTGTGGAACGATAGGTGTAGGGTTCCCCTTAATTAATAAGTAAAGGGGAACTTGTTAACGAATTCTTTTTTCCCTATTTTGTGGAATGGCAGACCAAGCCGTGCCACAAGCTGAGGGGAACAGCCTTAATGTACCCCGAAGGGTCGCTGATACTCAGTACTACTACCACTTAACCCACTAACTACTGGTGGGGAAGTTTCCCCCGTGTGTATTTAAAAAATTGGTAGCGGCTACTAGCCACTAAAGGAGCGGACAATGAGAGGTTATTCAATTCAAACACTATAATACAAGTGTGAAGACCAACTCAGAGATGCTTCTCGTGTCAAGTCTCGACTGAGAGTGAGCTACCGAGGCAAAACCCTCTAGGAACCCCTAGGAAACCCTGTAGGAAAGATGATATGGGTGGACTGTATTATTCACTGGCCTAATCTCGATGTTCAAAGATGGCAACGACTAGATGTAAGAAATAACACGCCACAAAGAATGTCGCACAACTTGTATTTGTCGTAATCATATAAACACCTGATTGATTTAACATAAGTAACAATTACTGTATTATTAGCGAGAACAGAGAGTCTTGCCGTACTCGTACGGAAGACGACTAACTACAACTACCATGTGGAAGGGCAACGGGCACACACGCGCTAACAATGCCGCGTTTTTGCGCCTACCGTCATTTGATTTAGATATGTGATGTTTGGAAATTCAAACATACTCCTCCCGGTTGAAAATTAAATTTTTCAAATTAACTTAAAGGTAAAGGGCATATTTTTGTTATTGGACGTAAGTACGTCCCTGATTTCGTTTTTATTTCGACAACTCGCACGCGACCATCTCGTCCGGGAATATTTTTAATGACTCGAGCTAAGGGCCATTGCAACGGTGGTGTATGATCTTTTAGAAGAACTAACGAACCCTCGACAACATTTGGTCTTTTTGAATCATTTTGGACGATGCTGTAATTGATTTAGATAGTCGCGGTGCCAGTGTTTCCAAAATTGTTGTTGAAGCAATGAACAAACTTGCCAAAATTGAAGATAATGAATTGGAGTATTTATTAAATCATTTTCTGCCAAACTCACAAGCGGAGCTTGAATCAGAAAATGTCCGGGACTTAGATATGACAGATCATTTGGATCATTAGAAATTGGACAAATCGGACGGGAGTTGAGTATCGCTTCTATTTGATTAAAAACTGTGCTTAATATGTCAAAATCGAAGCTCCAACTACTCGTCTCAAATGATATTTAGCGGACTTTACTGCCGCTTCCCAAATGCCACCCCAATGAGGGCTGTAAGGGGGAATAAAGTTCCACGTAATGCCTATATTCGCGGCATGATCTTGAACTGCTGAAACATGAGTTTCAGTTTTTAGTAAACGACCGATTTCTTTTAAGAGATTATTAGCGCCTACAAAATTTAATCCGTTGTCACTATATATAATAAGAGGTTTTCCTCTCCTGGAAACAAAACGTTTGAGCGCTAAAATAAAAGTTTCTGTCGTCATATCCGATACTAGTTCGAGGTGTACAGCCTTAGTTACCATGCATACGAACAATGCCATGTAAGCCTTAGTTGTTATAGATTTTCTCAAGCGCGATTGTCGAATTATAAATGGACCTCCATAATCTACTCCTACCTTTGAAAATGAACGCGCCATTTTCACACGATCAGCTGGCAAGGAACCCATGATTTGTTCAAAGGTAGTCGCTTTATGACGAAAGCACGTAACACATCGATTAATTTGTTTTTTGACTTGTCGCTTTCCGTTTAGAGGCCAATAACGTAATCTTAAATGCGCCAGAGTCGTATTTACCCCCGAGTGGAGCAATGAAAGATGAGCCTTGTTAATAAGGAGATTAGTAACGTGGTTATTTTGTGGTAAAATAAGCGGATATTTTTGTTCATAAGGAATATCTGCATTGTTTAACCTACCTCTTATCCGTAATAAACCGTTTTTGTCTAGAAAAGGATTTAACATTTTTAACGGGCCCTTGATTACACCTTTTGATTTTAAGATAGCAATTTCATTACTGAGACATTGGTGTTGTATAATCCGGATGATTGCTTTATGAGCTTCATTCAGTTCATCCGTAGTTAAAAGTCCGATCATTTTAAGAAGATTTAATTTTAAGAAATTATGTGTTTGCTCTACTACTTTGTTTACGTCTGGTATAGAATTTATTCCAGGTAGTTCTGTTTGCGTGAAGATTGCATCGTAATTTTCAAGCCACTGTGGTCCGTTCCACCAAAGAGCCGAGTTTTGAAGTAGTATAGAGTCGGTTCCTCGCGATAAAAGATCACTAGGATTGTCTTTCGTTCTAACATGTATCCAATGAAAATTATGTGTAAGTTCTTGAATTTCATTTACGCGATTCGCGACAAATGTAACCCAACGAGTAGGTGGTGATTTGATCCAGTGAAGAACAATGCATGAATCTGACCATAAATATGCGTTCGAAACCTGTACATTAAAGATATTAATGATACGATGCATCAGCCTTGCCATGAGCAGAGCTCCGCACAATTCTAAGCGAGGCAGTGTTACAATTTTTAGAGGTGCTACTCTAGACTTCGCACACACTAACTTAGTACTAACTGATTTGTCAGTATACAGAACGCGTATGTATACACAGGCTCCGTATGCCCGTTTCGATGCGTCGGAGAACGCATGAAATTCGATATTCGCTACGATGGTGTTGGTGAACAACCATCGAGGAATCGATATAGAATTTATTTGAGAAATATTTTTTGTAAAAGCTAAACACTGTTTAAGTATATCGGGCGGTAATATATCGTCCCAATTTAACTTTTGAGACCAAATTTGTTGAAGTAGAATTGTCCGAGCAATCCGAGTGGATCGAATATTTTTCCGATGAATGACAAAATGTTACGTTTAGTATAATTTGTCGTTGTAATTTCGCGTGGCGAATTAAAACCGAAATTGTCTCTACACGGATTCCAAGTGAGGCCTAAGGTTTTGACCGATAAGTCATTATCAGTTATGTTTACTTGTTGATCCATTACGAGATTGGTATCAAACGTAAGCAAATGATAATTTGAAAACCATTTATGTAATTTAAATCCCGCATAGGTTAATAAGTTAATCAGTTGCGATTTAAGCTCAATTAATTCATCTGCCGTATTTGCACCCGATAAGATGTCGTCGATATAAGTATTTTCGATCAACGCCTTTGCGGCTAAAGGAAACCGATTAGAGTTGTCCGTTGCTAACTTTACCAAACAGCGTGTTGCCAAAAATGGGGCCGAACTAGTTCCGTATGTTACAGTTAGCAATGTTATACATTGCAATTCATCGCTCGGGTTATCTCGCCACAAAATGCGTTGCAAATCTGTATCCGAATCTGCTACTGGAATTCCCCGATATATTTTTTGTATATCGGCCGTCAAAACATAACGATGCATTCTGAATATGCATAGAATGTCGAACAATTCTGGTTGAACTGTTGCACCTGTTAGCAAAATGTCATTTAAAGAATGGCCACTTGTAGTATTGGATGAGGCATCAAAAACTACACGTAGTCTTGTTGACAAACTCGATTCCTTAATCACCGGGTAATGAGGCAAAAAATATCCGTCTGAATTATCATTTTTTAAAGTTGCAAAATCGAGATTGCTATACTTGCCATGACCAGGAGCAATGTATTCGTAACTAAAATTTTTATAATCTAAGTAAAAATTTTTATCAGCTTTTAAACGTTTTTCAAGTGTATAAAATCTGCGCAACGCTGTATTAAAAGATCCGCCTAACAACGAACGCGCATTTTCATGAATTAATGGCAAACGTACTGTATATTGACCATTAGTGAAAACCGTCGTATCTACGAATAATTTTTAGCAAAGACGTTCTTGAGGGCCAAGCAGAGGCTTATTTGTAACCTCCTCTAAATGCCAAAATTTATAAATTATATTTTCTATGTTGTCATTATTAATCGCACACAAAGCCGTAGA